ACTATTAAACTGTACGAAGACTACCCGTGATTACAAATTCTCTGAGAGATTTATTGTTCCTCTTAACCCAGTGCCGAGATCAAGTTTGGGTGATTTCCTTGCTATCCTTTTCTGTGGCACACGTTTAATTCTTACTTAGCCTTACACTGAGGCTATGGCAAGCTTTATGTGAAAGTCTCCTATAAATTTCGAATCTTGCACAAGCCCTGATCTTGTCTCCTTTCCCCCTCATTTCTTATAGTCATCAAAATATAAATTGAGATCTTCTTAGTATCTGGTAAAATTCTCAGGACAAGATTTGTTTTTGACATTTATTTTCCTTCAAACGTCTTGCTTTCATTTCCGTTCAGTATCCCTGTAGTCTTTACTATCATACCAATTTAGGGAGTAATTTTAAAATATTATTTTTTGTGTTACAGTAAGCATTTTAGTTAATTTTTTCAAAAATCCTTAGTTATCTCAACTGATTTCTTGCAATCGAGTGTGAGAGGGGGCAAATAATTTGTATAACATTTTAAATATTAAAATTCATTGATGTTTCTTTACAATGTATGAGGCTGAAATATAAGATAGGAATTCCTTTCATACTGTCAGCTTCATTTGTACTCACGTTTCTTTTATGTGGGAGAGAAAGGAGCTGAGTGATAGCTATATGTCAGGAATTTCATGCGGTCCTGGTAGCTCCCTTGAGAATGTGTCACATGTAGAGCCATTATCTTTCACATTTGGAAACTGAGGAAGATTGGCTTACAGAAGAAATTCTACTTCTTAGCATGATGGATGAGCCCTGGATGAGTTGCTTCCAATTCTTACTACTAGTTTCCATTTACTTTGACTATCCCAAAACAGAAGCTATACTCTTTCCTTACTCCTATGCACGCTAATCTCTCTGCTTTGGTTGCCTTCACCGCTATGTTCTTGTGTAAAATTTCAGCTTACTAAATGAGATGTTTCATCTTCTAGGAAGCTAGTATGCTGTCCTCTCTGGTGTTTTCTCTGATTTCCTGTTTGTGTGGATAAATGATTGAGGCCCTGCAACCCAGTGGATGTCAATTTAGCTGGCCTTCCACAGTCTCTACTACCCCATAAGATGATGGCACTGCTCCTCTCTGTGGTTTTCCTCCTCCTATTTGGGAGCCTTGTGCCAATGCGTGCCACTAAGGAAGGCCATTGTAGGTGAAGGTAGGGTAGTGGGCACTGCATGTTGTCATCACTGAGACATTTGCATTCTGAGAACTGCACTTCCAGGCCCTGAGGTCTTTTATAGGTTGCTGTACTGTGAGGAGACCAAGACTGAAAATCAGGAGACATAGGGCCATAAATTGTTCATGCGCAGCCTTTGGGCAAATCATTTCTTCAGCTTGACGAGCCTGTTTCCCTCACTACAAAATGGTTGATCCCTGGTCTGCTTTCCTCCTTGGGGTGTTATAAGTTTTAGATGAGACCATGTGTCTGACAGTGTTCTGGAAATTAAAATTCTGGCAAGGGTTTCTATGTCTTCCCAGTACTGTGGGGATAAAAGCCAAACTCTTAGTTGGCTTTGTTTGTGCTTTCTTTTCTACTTTCATCCCTCAGTGATGTCTGCCTTCAAACTCTTCTGTCAGACTAAACTATTTAGTTTCCTTTGCAAGGCTGCGGTCTTTCACCCGAGGAAGAATGCCCTGTTCTCCACTCGAAGCCTCACCTTTAAGATTTAAGTAGTTTACATCTGCCTTTTAATTCAGAAAGCCAAGTTCTTATACCTCAGCTTCATTTGACTTGAGTCACAACCTAGGTTTCTATAAGAAGCTAGTCCTTGACTTTCCAAAGAGGCTAAGTAGGCATCCCTCTGTGGGACTCAAGTAACTTTGAGCATCCCTTGCCATAGCACCCATTACATGATATAATTGTGTCTTTGTCTACCCCCAGTAGACTAGGAGATCCATCAGGGTAAATATCACATCTGTCTTGTTCTTGTATAGGGCACAGAGTTGTTGCATAAAGATACTGTTGAACAAGCAAAAGAACAAATGCATGAGGGGAACATTAGATATTGTGCCCCTGTGAGGCAAGAGGTTTCTACAGTCTGCTGAGGCAGTAGGATTCTTTTACAACGGTAGTTCAACTCTGACATTAATCAACCTTACCACTTTGTGCACACAGCAAAAAACCCTGCTTCCTTTGAGGACAAGTGTCACTGTACATGTGGTGGGTGATGTGCCTATGATAACATCTGCCTGCTCTGCTGTCCTGCTTTCTAGTCCTAGACTCCAGTAGGGGAATGGAAAGGGCTGTTTTCATGGCCTGACTTAAAGAAGTTTGTTCCATGGGGACTGGGGATTTAGCTCAGCGGTGCAGCGCCTGCCTGGCAAGCGCAAGGTCATGAGTTCAATTCCCTGTACCGGAAAAAAACAAAAAACAAAACCAAAAAAAAAAAAAAGTTTGTTCCTCATGCAGCTTTGCAGGTTGGAATTTGGACCAAAACCCTCAAATAACCTCTCCTTTAAAGCCACTCAGAGGAAGCTAATGCAAGAGGGAAAGCTGTGATTTGAAAAAAATACTGGTAGCAGGATAACCTGAAGATTTAAATAGTTTACATCTGCTTCTTAATTCAGAAAGCCAAGTTCTTATATTTCAGTGTCTTTTAAATGTTTTTCATTGCTTCTGCAGTCCCTATTGTGGCTCCAACATTTCCTTGCTTCTCTCACTACACCCCAGTGACATGTAGAAAACCTTTTTCCATGAGTTGAAGGTGAAGGAGTTTCTATGGTTGGGGTGGGTTCTTGGAAGGCAGCTATGCTCACCATTATACCACCAACACTGGGGTGGATTCTTAATTGGTGTACACAGGCACAACACAATAGATGGAAGCTCTCTCATCAAGGCTCTGATGCAGCACGAACAGGAGTGGTAGATGGTCTCAATATTCCACCACCTTGGCATGCTGCCTGTACGCACAAAAAGGGGCCATGAAACCGGTGTTCTAGGGCTGGGCCCTTGCAACAGGCCCAAGCTCACAAAAACACCCAGTAAGCATTTTGGCCAAACTTTCCCATGTGATGTATGAGAAGTTCAGGGTAGACAATGTCTAAGATTCCTTCTAGCTTTTAAGTGTAACAATTATAAATCAAAGGTTAGCCCAGTCTTCAGAAGGAATAATGTAGAAGGGTTGAGGATGGGTGTGACAGGTTGACGTCCCAGCCTAGTTCAGCCAAAGGTGTTAATAGACTAAACATAAGGAAGACATAGACAATGCACAGAGTGGACTTATTTAACTACTACTTGTCTCGCTATTTGTGAGATAAACAAATTATTTCACTTTTAAGCTCTGTCCCTAACCATCAATGAGTTGAAGCTGTCTGTTACACAATACTTAATTTTGTTTTGATTCTCTGCTTTCATGTGTTCTGTAACAGTTTGTTGAGTATAAACATTGGAATTCTAGCCCCAAAATTGTGTCCTAGGGGTAGTAAACGTCCTTCTTTTTCTTCTTAGGTCATGATTAAGGAAGGTACTGTAGTTTGCAGTACCATGGTACCCACACTGGAGGGGACTTTTCACCTTATCCAGTTCTCCATACCTTTCAATACACATTTTATATAAAGAATTTGAGGTACAGAAAAGGGCAGTGGGCTGCCTATTGTCATACAGTGAATCATCAGGCCAGAATCTTAGCCACATACTACTTTCATGGCCATAAGTCACATACAGGACTCCTACCTCTAGCATCTTTTCAATTTATTACATGTTCTGGGGCCCCTTGATCTCTGTTTTGCTGCTTCTTAGAAAACTTATGGTGGATATTAAGCACCTTGCCTCTTTCAGCAGGAATTGAGCCATGAATGAAGCCAAAAAGCACAGCCCTTAGGTCATTCTCTGTAGATGCAAAGGAAGAAGACCTTTGGGAACTCCTCTGGAGGCGGGCTTTGATGTACATATAAAATCCATGAACACACACAGAGTCTCTCTCTTTTCGTAGCCACACAGATGCACATCTCAATAATCTGATCTCAGGAAAAAGCTGAGAAATTCATGAACTCTCAGATGGTGACTGATAAATATGTCTCAGTGTGGGATCCCTCTCAGGGGTGCTGGCATTTTAACAAGGAATAAAGCCAAAGCAAATAGCCCACCAGCTGCATCACATATGTTCTCACTGAATTACCAACTCAGCCCAAGAGGAAGGCATTGTAGCAATGCCTTACAGGTGAGGACATGGAGAAATAGAAAACATTTTCAGCATTCATCGTGACACCTCTTACATCTCATCAATGGCCAGTGCTTGAAGTCCAGAAATCTGATTTCAGATCTCATAGGCATTCATATCAAGAGACCACAGGAAAGGACTTTGAACTGAAGAACCCAAAAGAGGGCTGGCTTGGATTTTGCCTGCATACTTGAGGATGGTATGGCACTTGAAAAACCGAAGACGTGAGTGTGCCCATTCTTTCCCTGCAGCTTGGTTCACACTGGGCAATGTTGCCACCATTTTCTGTTTCTACAAGTATGATGATGTGAGGGTGAGCAGCTGAGCTTTGTGTGGTTTCCCTTGGCTGATAAGCTTGGAGTTTCTTAGGAAAGGCAGTGATGAGCTGCTGATATACATGAGTGTGTTCTAACCCAGGCCCTCTGCTATTTTGGTGTTCTCAGGTTAATCTAAGGCCCACACAAGGGAAATGTATAACTTCTGTACAATGATTTTTAAAAATATGTGAGAACAAAGGTGACATAAAGGGCCACTGAGCATGGTATCAACAGTTAACGTCAATAAAGAGAAAATAAAATGGGTTAATTAAAAATACTGATGACGTTCTGAAATTGTAGATGTTTTATGTTTTAACAAATTAACAACGGTGATAAGAGGACATTAGCAGCTTTTCTTAGGTCTGTGTTAACAATAACTTGAGCCTGCAGCCACAACAGGGGCTGTGGCCAAGTTTTAGTTGGCAGATCCTCAGGCCAGTATTTCACACAAAGGATATTTCTGAAAGCAGAGGCAGAGAGAAACCCAGAGTCACATATGTATTCCAACAAACAAGTTTCTGCCATTTTAATTATATTTAGAGCAACAAAAGATTTCAAGATTACAAAAAGAGCACAGAACACTAGCGCTTGGGGCTGGTCCTGCTGCCCAGTGGAGGCCAAGAGCCACTGTGAGAACTGAAGCCCCATCAAAAGAAGTTTCAAGCAAAATTGTTTCTTTTAAAATTTGTTGAATAACGGTTTTTCTCTCAACATCAAAATATTAATTCTTATCTCTGTTTACATAATCTTCTCCCGCCTGCTGCCAAATTAATCTCAAGGACAGCACAAGAATGTTATATCCAAGGCACTCCCGAATCAATGTCCAGTCTAAGGGAAAGCAGAAAAGTGTCATTAGCTGGTGAGGGAACTTTTATGCATTTACTTTTGGCTTGGGTAATCCCAGTTGTTACTGCTCTCAGCACCCATGTGAGTAAAGGAATGACAACCCCCTAAGCACTTCACTGTAGGACAGTTAGCGCTGAGGGCTGAGGTTGTAAGACTGGAAGCCAGGCTTGTCGATTATGCAGAATATAGAATCTCCAACTGTGAGTAAACAGACAGCCAAGCAGGGAGCCACTGGAGAAGCAGTAACATTTCAGAAGTATTTATCCTTTGGAGTATGCGCATGTGTGTTCCAGTTTTCGGGGGCCAGTGCAAAGTGCAGCTACATGATGGTTTTGCTACGTAGCTTATATGGGAACTTTTGCAAGCCACAGGGCCACCCATTCCACAGATTTTTATTGAATTCCACAAACAATTAGGAGATAAATGGGGAAAGGAAAGGAACCTGGATCCTTGCTATAATGAATTAGGACTGGAAAACAATAACATATTAGCTACTTTCAGGCCAAATTGAATGGAGTAAAGTTAAAGCTGGATCAAAACTGGCTTTTTACTATAAAATTTTACATGCTAAATTAAAATATGTATCACTCTTTTGAGGGTCAGGGGAATTAAGTGATTTGTTATCTTACCTTAAGTGTCTGAAGAGAAGTGACTAAAGTGGATTTTTCTGCCTTCACCTAGACATGGTTGAGAGTTGGGAGGCCCTGGGCAACAGACCCCAGTGTCAAACTCTACTGAAGAGAAACAATCTCCACCCTTGGGCAGAAGTGGACCTGTACCTACCAAGATACAACTTCTAATACACTGATAAGTTTCAACAGAGAAAAACACATTTTCAAATTTCAAATCTTTACAAAACATATCCAAAACCAGAGTTAGAGGATACAGACACCCAGTAGCAAGAGCACCTCAATCACAGGGGGGAGAATTGGTGTGAAAGATGGAGCACTTGCTCCAGGTTCCCAAGTGCAGGCAACTACCCTTCTCTCACAAGAATGGTGAAGACCAAGGAATACGCTTTCTTCTCCCAATAGCTAGGGTCCCATTGAAAGGACACTGGCCAGTCGGTTGGGTGGGCTCTTGGCCCCAAGTCTGGCTCTTCCCTGTGGTAAATTCCAGCTGGTTCTAAAGAGTCATCACCCTTTCCACATTCATCTGTCTTAGGCTAGTAAAGTGCAATACATCATGTACCCTACCCTTTTCCCCCTCCTACCCCTTTGTAAGGCCTTGTGTCAAGCCTAAGAGGGGCAGAAATCTTTGTTATCTGATCAATCCAGGTGTCTTGTCCATTCTGAGAGAGTTTCCAAAATGTAACTGCAGCCTCTCTTATAAGTACAAGGCATCAGATATTACCTGGAACCAAATATAAAGGTGCAGAGAAAGATAAAGCTTTAGAACACATTATATCTATATATATATATCTATATATATATATATATATATATAACTCATTTTTTAAAACAAGGATACAAATACTCATTTACAATATATTTCAACCTTCCGCCTCAAACTGCAGAGATCTCTTCATGCCGTCCAAACTGGGCAGAAATAAGTTTCTGTCTGCTGTCCTTCTAGTGCAAAATCTAATCCTTTAAATGCTCCTCTTCTCAGCAAAGGTTTCACATCTTTAGATAACATGGGCACTAGCAAACACAGTGGCCAAGACCAGCTCCATTTCCAACCATGCAGTGATGGAGCTTCAAGAATTTGTTCAGCAACTACTAGTAAAACGGAAAGCTAGGTCTACTTATAAAACTACTTATTGAAGGACCCGCAGTCTTATTTTCCAAATTATCTTCAACTCTTCCAAATATGAATATTGTGAGGGTGGAAAACCCCAAAAAACTCTTATAATTCAGTCACCAGCAAAGTTCTTTAGCCTGTCATTGGAAAGCTGACCAAAGAGGCACTAATGCTTACTCCCTCCCTGCCCTTAAAAATTTTGGTATCCTAGATACAATTTAATCTTTGGTTACATACTGTGATACTTTCATCTCTTTGTCTGTCCTTAAAAAAACTGGTTTTAAAGATTTTCAAAGAGATCAGTGGTGAGAACAGATCTGCCTATAAAGGCAGTAGCACTAGAAACTTCCTTTTCCAAGAAATTTCACATTGCTAAATGGCTTCTTTTGACTTTAAATCTGGATTTGATCTCCTCTTTAGCATTCCTGTTTCCTGTGACCTCCTACTGAGGGCCAAGCATAAAAACCATGCCCTTGGCCAAGTGCCCTCCCACCTGGCCAACTGGCATAGGGTAATCAGTAGTGAGCCCCTTGTTTTTCCAGAACTTTGGGGTGGGGTCATGCAGGGAGAGTTACTGGGGCGATCTGGAGTCTCCTGAAGTGCAGTGCTGGCATAGAGCTGGGGAAGGGTGCGGGAGGGTTGCGTGGGCCTTTGTGCCCTGCTTCATATCAAGGGAGAGAAAGGGACAAGGCCACGTATGTGCTGTGCCTAATGAATCAAACACTCAGAAGCTACTTGAAGCTTACAGTCAGGTCATTTGTGTAGTATCAGTATCAAGTGAATGGTGGACAAATTTTAAAATACAAGTCAAATACATTTTGTTATATATGCCTACATATATTTAGAAATAGAGTATGGACAGAGAGGGACTCAGGCATCAGAACATTATTTCTCAACCTGGAAAACTGACCTCAGCAACTACTCAAAGGACAAAAGACAGAGCGAATCTCTTTTTTAAGTGCCAGTGAACATACATAAAAATATACATATTACTGATTTTTTTCATAGATATATGATAGACTCCTTCAAACAAGTCCTTTCTCAAAGTAAGGTAATTTAAGAAAATGAACTTTCCAAGAAAAACAATATTGCCTGTGGCATAGAAAATCTGTAGAACAAAGAATGTAACCCCATCCTAGTTCAGAAGCCAGATCCCTTGAGCTGCCCAGTGAATAGAGCTGAAACTGCTACGCATAATTCAACTCTTTGCTTTGCCCAGAGTCTGTGACCTTTGCAGCTGTTTGCTGCCCAGATAGAACCTTCTCCATGTTGTTCCTTTTTTCCCCTCTTTCTTACTCTCCATCCCCACCCAGAGCTGCAGATTGGAGTTGGTCCTCTTGACTTGTCCAGTGAGTGATCTTCATCATCCAGCTCATCAGGTGAGTGGGTCTAGGTGGTCTTTCACAGCTGAGCACAGTATACCACAAACCAACTCTATTTGGAGAGCAGAGTACATGCAAAATTGAGACTTCTGTCACATGTCCTGGCTGAAACATCAATGGCCACAAGAAAAAAAAAAATCACCCTCCTTTCACCTGTGAGAAAACAGAGCCATGCTATAACCTCCTTTGCTCACTTGAATCCCAGGGCAAAAACAGTAGATCTAAAGCTCTGTTTAGGCTGTTTTTCCCTAGTTTTGCAACTTGAAGATTTGGAGTGACCCAGTTGTTGCTCCTTTTAATTACACTGCTTTTCACCAATTTTTGGCTTTTGCAAATGAAAAACATATATATTCATAAAGGCAAGAGTAACAATTGGGAAATCATTAAAGATAAAAAGTTTGATAGTGAAGTGCAAAGTAGAGCCTTTAGTATTTACAAGGAGAGATAGTAGAATGATATAATCAAATCCTTGTGCAGCAACATGAAAATTGGTTCAAAAGAGATATAAAGGAACTATTAAAATGCAACCTAGTTTAACTGAAAAGTGGTGGATGGTTTTCTGTTTTAACGAGCTAATAGAGATCCTGTAACTAAGCAAAATGATTCCATCAAAAAGAAAACCAAATTCTGTCCTACCTCAGAAGGGAAACCCATCAGCTTCAGTTTTGTTCAGCAGTCTTGGATTGGCATATCACCCATTTTAGTTTCCCCTCTACCTTGTTATTTAAAGAAGCTGTTTTGCAAGTTCATTTGGCTATTAATATCAACACAGAAACCGGGGAAGGAAACCCATGTGGATCATATCATGTCACTCAGAAACTATCTTCTCAACAAGCAGAGGCAACCAGCTGAAATGGGCAGGTTGGGGACTGGCCCATGATTTCTCGAGTTTAACAGATGAAGTAAAGAGCTAAGGAAGGAGGCAGCAGCCAAGACAAGGAAGTACATGAGCAGTCTACCTTGCACCTGGGGTTGGGGAACAAAATCAACAGAACATGGGTGTGCCAAAGGACTATATCAAATCAGTGACCCAGGGGCAGACCTTGAGTTTTTGGGTGGCCACAAATCACAGTTACACCAGCCAGATAGCTCCAAAGGAAGTCACGGTTCTAAGGAAAGTCTCAGTGGTCCAGCACTCCTCTGAGTGAGAGGCAGCAACAATCGTGGGAAAGCTGAGTGAGATTGGCCAGTGTCAGAGCCCAGAATCAGCAGCAGAGGAGGAGGCTGAGTAAATTGGTCCTCATCGGGCCAGATGATGTCCATCTGGCGTTAGGTTTTGCCTCTGATGACTAATAGTTAAAAGAATCTTCCCTTAGTTCTTTCTCTCTTCTCATGACTTTGGTAGGTGGATACGCTGGATGGCAAGGAGAGCACTTCAGGCTTTCTGATCCTAGGGTCATCATTCTTCCCGTCTGGGTTACTGAGTTTTCTCTTCCACCCTGATCTGGGTAGCTGCTTTGGAGAAGGGAGTGGACATTTATCCACTCGATGAGAAGGTGTCATCTCCAGGGGGCAAGGGCCAGATGGCCAATTTGTCTGATTCCTTTGATGCCCTCTTTCCAGTTTGTCTAAGGGCTCCAGCGTTCTAACTACTGATGAGACACATTAGGTGAAAAAGCTTTGAGACTACTGGAATCTAGTGACAGATGTCGGGACTATGGGCCTGCTACCCTGCATAGTGGGGAGAATTTCAGCAGAAAGTTTGTGAATACGCCCGAAGAAGTGAGCATGCTTCATCACACGTCTGAAATGTAGTATGGCCTACAAAACACTGAAGGGAAGAAAGAAGGTGATGGCCACATGGAGTACCTAGGTCTTTTAAAGGTGAGGAAAAGGTGCTGTTATTGAGAAATCAATTATTCAGTGTCCTAAGTAGGAGAACATTCAAGCCACCACATCCTTCTCCTGATTCCAGCTCCAGATTCTCCCTGGATCACAAGCAGGAAACTGCACTGGATCTGAATGGAGTCTTCCAAAGTGTCAGATCTCTCCTCTCCTTTGTCTTCCTGATCTGACTCTTCAGCAGAGGTGGCCATGTTTCGGCTAAAGAGAACATTCAGCTGAAAGGTCTCAGAAAGTTACTGAAAGTCAATTTGAGGATGGAGGCAGACACTGAGAAAGAAAAGGTCTTGAGTGGGGAGGTGGTCACATGCAGACAAATTTTCAAACAAGAAACACATTTTCAATACAGTGAATTGCACTACAGTTGAGCAGTGTAGCTCTCAGGAGCAAGGCTGTGGGCAAGAACTGGTGATCCATCTGCCCTCCTTGGCGTCTCCTCCTTCAGTCTTCCCCACCTCAGCTCTTGGGCTGCTCTGTCCTCTAAATGGCAATAACCTTTGCAAAAATAAAGTCTCCCAGGAAGTGGGGTGGGGGGGTTGAACAAAATCAGTGACTCCTTGTGGGCCTGCAATTTTCACTTGCTTTTAGTCACTGCTGGCTTCTTTGGGGACTTCTATTAGTTATTTAGAAAAATCCCAGCAAGTTTTTTTTTTTTTACTTTTTTTCTGGTTTTAGTGTCTTTTGTTTGTTTTTGTTTTCCCCAGACACTTTTAGCTCTCTAAACTTCCCACAGCATAAGGTACGTAAATGTTAGTGTGGCTGGCACACAGTGGAGTGCTGTAAACAAGCACAACTTGACACTGGGCCACATGAAGATTACCACAGATTTAAAGAAGTACACCACAGTTCAAAACACAGACAGGAGCCACAGCAGGGAGCAGAGTCTAAAGCTGAGTTAGGGAGAGAAGGAGAAAAAGAAAAGAGGAAACGAGGAAAAAGCCAAGCAAACAGAACATATGCATGAAAGACTGTACATTGATAGAGGAAATTCCCCAAGGCACTGCAGAGAAGTAGTGCAGAGTTACAACAGGCAGAAGACATCTGAAAAGGGGGTATAGAGGGGTATGGAAATGGGGACTTCCAAAGCTTCACTGTGTATGGAAATAGATTGGCTTGACTTTCCCAGAAAGGATCTTGGGCACTTGCACAGAGATGATCTCTGCCATCATTTCCGGAAAGTCCACGCTCACCATGTGGGACTTGATTAGCAGGTCAAAAGTGAACTGATGCAGTTCTCTTGCAATCTGTAGTGGACAGCCAAAAAAGAAAGAAAACACAGTTCACAAAGAAATGACTTCTGACAGACTCCTCCCCAGCTCTGATTTCCAGTCCTTTCAGCATTTTGTCCCTTTATCTATTCTTAGTTCTGCCGTTTGAGGTGTGTGTGTGTGTGTGTGTGTGTGTGTGAAATAGTCTATAGGAAATCACTGAGGGTCCCTAATAGATGTCTTTTTTTTTTTTTTTTTGCTTTTTCTCTGGTACCAGGAACCGAACTCACGACCTTGTGCTTGCCAAGCAGGCGCTTTTGCCACTGAGCTAAATCCCCAGCCCCCCTAATAGATGTCTTACACCACTGCAAGCTTTCTAACTCAGGACTGGGTGTTTCTCTTCACCACTGATCTCTCTCTCTCAAACACACACACACACACACACACACACACACATGCAGGATGTACACACACAAGCATACACATGCATACACACACAGCGAAAAACTTACATGCACATGACTCAGGAAAGAGGAAAAGAGAAACACTCAGGTCAGGTCTATTTTGTCTGCCTAGAGGGCTCATCAGCTTTAAGCTTTTCCCTTAGTCCCAATTGCTCTGTTCTCAACTCCTCCACCTCTTTTCACAACAGCCAGCTGGGACACTGTGACCTGTGTTCCTTTCTTTTCCATTGCATTTTCTTTCTGGACTACACTCAAAGCCAGAGGAGATGGAAACACCTCCCAACAGGTGGTTCCAGACCCTAGAGAAGCATTGTTATCATTTGGCTCTATCAGGTTACTCTCCCCGATACAGACCAAGTGAGTGTCTGGCCCTTGTCCCCCAGAGACGATACCCTCCATCATTTGCTTACAGGCTGCACAGAGTCCAGGAGCTTTGTGAGCTGGTAGAAGCGCCTTGAGCAGGATGTGGGATTTTTTCTTTTGCATGCAATGATACGATCGAGTTCCTTGATGTAGTTCATTCGAAGTTCATCAAAGAATTTTTGATTTTTCAGCCCATCCACTGGAACTGATGTGGGATGAAAACAGAATGCATAGGGGAAGCATGCCCACAAAGGAGCATTAGACAAAGCACCAAATTTTCTGACCACAAATTTGACCCCCCCACCCCCACAGGGAGGGAAAAATCTATTTGGCTTCCTGTCAATTGAAGTTTGTGGACCTGAGCCCTTCAGTTTGCCAGGGAGCTCTCAATGAAAAGCATAGCTGGCCCCAATCTGAAGGAGGTCAAATAAACAAAATTTACTGAACCTTTTCTTTTTCTAGTATTCTGATTTCTTAGGAACCAATGTTTTATGCTGTTTGCCGTCTATCTCTGATTTGGACAATTAAGACACATAGCTTTGGATATTAAACTTTGCCTTCTTTCCTCACAAAGACCAGGCATTTTGGCTTAGAAGAGACATTAAAGAAAGGTGGCTTGGTTGTCAGAACAGCTCTAAGAATTGCTTCCATAGACCTCCTCCTGTTGGTAGAAGTGGAAATGCCTTGCAGGAGGCAATTCCTCCTGTCTCCAGCTCTGCAAGAAATACAAGGTGGTTTATGCCTGTTTCTGTAACAGAGGCTGTGGAAAAATCCAGAGGCTTGCTACAACCAGCCAAAAAGGCCTAGTCTCAAAGGAGAGATTGGGGGTTGATGAGAATTCGATGGAGGCTCGATTCTACCAAATAAATTGATCTCTGGGCATGAAATTGGTCTTTGTTAAGAAAAAGCATGCTGAGGTAGAGTGGAGGGAGGAAAGAAGAAGGGAAATGTTCAGAGGCTGGCTTCTCCTTGATAATAGTTAATAGAAAAAGTGTACTCCTCTGAGCCTCTGTGCCCCCAGGGGCATTCCCTGTGCCTCTAAGCACTTACTAATGCTGAAGAGTAGCAGTGCTTTCATGCACAGGAATTCCTGGGGTGTGATCTGGAGCCATCCAAACTCCTGAGAGAGATGCCTCATTCGGACACACTGGCTGTACATCCGGGACTTGTGCATGCGGTACCTGGGAAGAAGACACAGAGGCAGAAGAGGAATGAGGGCAGGCTTCCAACATGCCCAGAGGAAAGTTTTCATTTTGCCTCCTTCCCTAGGTTCTTGAAGAATAGCTTGCTATTTCTGTTGCTGGTGCTTCAGTGACAAGGAACAAGATGCTTCCCCTTCACCCTAAATTACTGACATCTTGGGAACTACTCATCTTCCTCGGTCAGGGTATGAATTAATACATGGAATTTCCAGCTCTCTCTGTCCCCTCTGTTTCCTGAGACACAGACAGAAAAGCATTACCAATTAACACAGTGAGGTAGGTGCATAGTCTCCCTGGCTACAATTCTAGCATCTTCACTACAGTTGGAGCCAGACTCTGCCTCCCAGGCAGCCTAAACTGGAGGATATCTAGGAGCGAGGACTCAGCAGTCAGCTCAACACCAGGATTTGTAAGTGACTACAGGTGTTTATCCTGTCAACACCCCTGCCTGCCTATTGGTTTGAAAGCCATTTCTCCCAGCCATGGAGATTCTACATTGTCCTTTCAAAGTAAGGTCCACTGCTTCTAAATGTGCTAGAGAGTGTGTTTAAATGTCTTACTTGGATGTCCCATGCTAAAGAGGAGCCCACTCCCTCAAAGATGAGCTGCTCCTTACAACAGCTTTGAAAGCTAAAACATGTGTGAGCTGCTTTTATTATAGAGACTTGTGAGCAGATCATCATATTACCACCAATAAATTATATGGGGAAGTTGCCAAGGCTTCCATAACTTTGGGGTAGAAGAGCAGACTCTGATCCCAGCATGGTGATGGCATCCCTCTGAGAGGAGACACAGCTGATTCCCACGAGTTGCCCTTCCAGTTTTCATCACTTCAGAAATCGAGAGTGTGTGTATGTGTAAGACAGTAACTGTGTAGCAGGAGAAGAAAGGAAAGGGAATTTGACACTTGCTGAGGTGAGGACAAAGACCTCCAACATGGAGCCTAAATGTATTTTGACATTACGCAGTCACCAGCCTGGTCTGTAGGCTGAGTTGGCTTGGCACTGTTTGGGCAGAGGCTCAGCAACTTGTCTCAGGAGGTCCTGGCTTTCTGGTGAATGCGAGAAGCGGGCAGATGATATAGAGTCATTCAATTCATGCTGAGTTCCAACTGAAATGGGAAAGTGTTTGGATGGTATCACAAGTCAGTTGACCAGAACGGTGGTGCCCTCAGCTCTTTCACCTTATAGCATTTTTGAATAAGATCTGCTGGCTTAGAAAACCTGACTTTACTCTGGTCTCCATTGTATTTCCATGTCTCTGATTGTGAAGGCACTACAGTCTCCTTACTAGTGAAATCACGGCCCTGGCATGGAGGGCTCCTAGAATATTGTAGCAGATCCCTGAGACAGAGAAGGTAAGGAGTGGAGAGGAGAGGAGAAAGGTAAGGGCAGGGTTTCATAGGATAAGGGATTAAGAAACAGGGAGAACAGGCAAAAAGAATCCTGAAAGAGTTAAAGGAAGGAAAGGAGAATAGAGGGTAGAAAAGGAGGGGCATGAAGAGAATTCAGGAGGACAGCAAAGGTAGATGGAAATGAACAAGAGTGACTAAGAGGAGAAATGAAGATTGGAAAACACTGAGTACAGTTTCTAGCGCATAGTATATGCTTAGTAAATGACATGGAAGAAGGTACTATTATGATATTATTCACTATTCTTCAGATTAGAGTTGAGGTTCTGAGAAGTAATTTTCTCATGGTCAGTTAGGATTCAAACCCATTATCCTGAAAACATGTGCTCTTCACAGAGGTAAGTAAATAATACAGTTGGGCTGATGAGAGGGCTTCGTGCCAGGGAGAATAGCACATGGGTCAGCCCAGCTTGGTCCAGTCTTTCTATCTCTCTTTGGTCCTCAATGGTCCAATTAGCACCTCAAGGAGACTAACAGCAATTAGTGGCTCTCATTTTATGAATACTGCCTCCTCAGTGGCCATTAGAAATGTCTGTGTGACGTCTGGGCTGTCAGAGTGACTGGAATTTTACATAGTGGGAAAATGCTACAGATGCTAAACATATTCCAATAGGCAGCAATGTCTTGCACAATGAAAAATTGATCCTCTGCTAAATGTCAACAGCATCTACAGTTTGAAATACTAGTTTATATGTTTGCAGGAACTCCAAGAGCTCTAATACAGTAGGCTCTTGTAAGTGGAAAGGTGCCTGTTGCTTCCGGACCCATGAGGCTTGGTGGGTCACTGACACTGTGAGGAATTCTGTGGTACCTTTTGATGAGATTGATGGGACTAATTGAAAAAGCTGAAGTAGGGAAGCCACATGCTTACTGGGAGACATGGAAAGAAATAAGGATTTAGGAGTTGACAAATTATCACCTTGCAGAGCTCCAAAGGTCTCAGGGTTCTAGGGCAGATGGAGCAAGTGCTTAGGAAGTTGATCCAATCACTCAAGGTCAGTGAAGGCTTGGAAGTGGGGGATGAACAGTTAGGGAGGTTTTTCAAGGTCTGCCCCAGAAGATGGCATCATAGGTAAGACTTTGAAGATATGGAAACCACAAAGCAGGTCATGCCACAAGCCCAGTGGCTATTCTTAGCTTTTGGCTATCAGAGCTGGCAGGGTTGAGAAAGGGCAGCTGGGGACACTGACTCTCTTGCATAGCACAGCCGTAGTTTAAGGAGCCACTGACCTGTAGATTTTATTTTAAGGCTCTTCTGGGTTAAAGGGCTGAAGGAAAGGGAAGTTTAATTCCTGCCCTGACCAAAAGTATTCTCTATGGTGAAACTAGTTCAAGGTTCTTGGGAAGATTATCTGGTCAGCTTCATTCACAGTTCTATGGAGCATTCTCAGACAGACGGGATAGAGAAGATTATCGCTATTAGGAAAAAGAGGATTCAGAAAGGGAGTTTTTAAAGTATTATTTCTGGCCCATCATAGGCTGGATTCTCCATGCTCATCAATTCCCACTTAGTCATAACAAACCATTTAAGAAACTTCTATTATTATTAATAGATTACAAAAAGTGAGAATCAGGGAAGTTAATGGTCTTGTCCCAAGATGATATGAGAAAGAGAACTGATATTTTAATGATGAAAAATGTAACTACAAATCTCAGCCCTTACAAATTCATGAAGGATAAATAGGGCTGGTAGCAGTGCAGATATGAGTTAAACCTGTTTAAGAAAAGGGAAATGGCAGGGCAAAGGTCATTTTATTTTGCTGAGTCTGATTTCCGCTATTCATAAAAATAAAAGACTGTCTATAAAAAGGGGAGATCAGGTTACCATAAGGACTCCATGAGACAGTATTTAGGAAGTATCTAGCATAGTCCTGATGTAAAATAGTTGCTCAATAAATGTTGGCTGATGGCAGCACTCAGTGGCAACAAAGAGAACAAAGGAACTTCCGTCCTCACAAGCAGAGTCTCTCTGCTCCTTGTGTATATTGCTCAATGAAGAGAAGGGACCTTTATGTGACATTCTGAATAAACTACAGAGCACTTCAGAAATGACCAAAATACTAGGATTGGGTCTTGGGTTTGAAAGGGGTAGGCTTATCATTACCAATCCCAGACTCCCACAAGTTAACTTTCCAGCCAAGCAAAGCCACCTCAGAGTGGACTGGTTGCCTAAAGCCTCCAGTGCTTACCTACAGGTCAAAAGTACTAATTTCCACTGTGAACACCACCACCATCACCACCAACCATATTTTTTCAAGCTGCTGTATTTATGCGAGGTCTGGTCCCAGGAATACTTACTCATTGAAAACCAGGTCAGGTGCAAAGTAGAGCATTCTGGAGTTGACATTGGTGAAGGACCGCCAGCCCATGGCAAACACCATCAGTCCCATCCAGGAGTACTGAATGACGGCCATCTGGTCGTCCACATGCAAGTTGCGGAATCCTGAAAAAGAGACAGAGGTGGCAGTCAGTGTGGGCATTGATGGGCTGAGTGAAGACTGGGCCTCTGCTGAGGTGAGAATCTGCAGCACTAAGCAGGTCCCGAGGAACTACTGGAGCCATCAGTGCTGGTTGCTAAGGTATGGGAGAAAAATATCAAACTAGATTGTGAGGTTAATATTCTTTCCCCTCCTTATCTCAATGAGCTGATCAAATGACATAACAGAGGCAAAAAGGGAACTGTTAGTTGGAAGAGAATTATAATCTAAGGCTAATTGCTTATGATGAATTAACACTTTTCTAAGGGGTTTACTTACATCACTTCATTTAATCCTCACAACAATAAAATAGGTACTCTTTGCACCTCCATTCCGTGATCAATAGAAGTGAATCACAGAAAGGCAAGGAGTATGCCCACGATCATATGGCTAGTAATTGGCAGACCAAATTCCAAAAACCCAGGCAAACTCTAAAACTCATGCTCTTGATCACTACACCTTTCTAAAGATTTACGGTAATAATTAATTCTTCCACCCAGACAGCAGTTCTCCCTTCACAGAGCTCCCTTGTAGCCTTAACCTGATTTGACTTCTGTAGTAACATATAATTGCATATCAGCAGATGGGGAACTGTGCCTTGACAGCCACTGCCTTCTCCACACCACATTCAAGCTCCCTCTCTCTTCTCTGACCTTCTTTCTTCCCCATACTTACTCTCCATTCTTTTCTAGTTAACAGAAATCCTGGTTCTGCTAGTCCTACCCTTTGGCCATCCCTTCCCCTCCCTTTAGACACTAACAAAACCTTTATGCCCTGCCTCCTTAGACTAATTTCTTACTGCTTGATTTTTGATAATTTACATTCAAGCCATTCTGAAACACTTAAAATTTGCTGAATATTTCATGTTGTCCTAGGCCACTAGAGTGTTGCCATCTTTGAAGAAACTGTTGCCTTTGCCTAGAATGTTTTTTCCCCTACCCAGGCTTTCCATCTGATAAACACCTACTCATCTTTCAAAACTTTACTCACAGGTCACATCTTTTGTGAAATCTTTCAAACATACACCAGCAGAAGGTCTAATGATTCTTTTTTTTACTTTCTCATTACATTATGGAACCCTAGCCAAATATAGTGCTCACTTCATAGCACTGGAATTTATCTATGTAAATGTTTGTCTCCCCCACAAGACATGAAACTTCCTGAAAACAGGAGCCATATTTCCTTATTTATCTTTGCATCCACAGTATATAGTATCGTTCAGATATTTGACTGGGCACTTCAGAACTATTAATTAATTCAACAAGTGGGTTAAGAGTCTTCATTTTCCCCCACTTTGTAAAATGGGACTTAGATGATCTCCAAGTGACTTTCCTTCACCTTAGGAAACAAAGTCTCTCAGGTGCTACTGCTGTAGTAATACACGAGTGCAACAGATATGGACACATTTTCCTGGAGGGCTCCAAACAGTTGGATGCTTAAAGTTATAAATGCAGCACCTCAGCACCTTCTCTCTGCTTTTCTCAAGAGATTCAGAATTATCTGAAATTCTGTCTGGCTATATTTCATTAAGAATGCTTTTTGAAATTTAAATCAAACCCTCACTTTCCTGCTGATGACCTCATTTAACCCTCACAACAAGCCCAGAGTGTAAGTGATGTCACACTTCATTAACACGGACCCGAGGGCCACAGAAATGAGCTGACTTGCCCAAGGTCATAGTCTCCTTGTGGCCACACTGGATCTAGAACGCAAGCACTCTGATTCTCTGCTCTAGTGCTTTTGTTACTCTACAGCTAATAGTCACAGTTCAGGAGCTACCAAGCCTTTCCCCACAATCTTTATTGTACTGCCATGCTAACAGACTGGCTGACACCTCAGAGCCCAGTGTATTTCCTTCCTTCAACACTTTATAGTATAAAATGCCTGGAGTTGACCCTTCCCAGTAGGAGACAAGAAGCAGAGCAACATTCAAGAATCCTTTGGGGAAATGGCCTGAGAGTATGAACCCTAAACCTTCACTTGGATGGAGGACTATGGTCAGTAAAGGAAGAGAGAGGGAGGAAGACAGAGAGAGAGAGAGAGAGAGAGAGAGAGAGAGAGAGAGAGAGA